AGGGTAGAACCAGCAGCAAAAACACATTGGGAAAATCCTAACAGCTGCTAACTTTTGAGCTCTCACCACCTCCTATTATAGTAAGTGCTTTGGAGGCATTATCTTAGTTTATACCAACAGCCTCATGAGCTAAGGACTATAATTATTCCCATTTTAGAGACTAGGGGTGAACCAACAGATTAACTTGACCAAAATCACAGACAGGAAAGTGGTGGCACCTCTGTGTCCAGTCCAGGCCACTAGACTCTGGAATCTATCCTCTAAACCTCCAAGCTCCACTCACACCCTCACAAGCATATCGCAGTCAAAAGACTTCCAAGGAGCAGATGCCAGGAGGAGAAAAGAGCTCAAATAAGATCAATGCGGCCCTTGTGACCTCAAGATTTGACCTGTAGGTGGCCTGCCAAGATGTCATGGAAAAATGACACTGCATTGGTGTAGCCTGGAGCAGGCTTGCAGGGTTCAGAGGACCAAGTCCTAGTTCAAGGTGCTTCAAGCTACTCCAGAAGCAGCCCAGAACCCAGTGTGTTTAATAAAAGGTACTATTGCTGAAAGCCTGTATGCTGGGTTTTTAGATACACCTTTTTTTTTTTTTTCTTCTCATTTTGCTGTTGGGATTTGAACCCAGGGATGCTCTAACACTGAGCTACACTCCAGCCCTTTATATCAAGAAAGGGTCTCACTAAGTTGCTTAGGGCCTTGTTAAGATGCTGAGGCTTTCCTCAAACTTGTGATCCTCCTGTCCCAGCCTCCTGAGTCCCTGGGATTATAGGAGTGTGCCACTGTGCCCAGCTTGATAACTATTTTCTATATGTGCATGTATTAAATGAATGGTTTTTTTTTTTCAGTCTTCATAGCATAGCTAATAAAACTGAAGCTCAGAGGTCAAGGTTACTAAGTCAAGGCTGCCTGACTCTAGGACCCACACTTTCTCTAATATAGTCAATGCCTCACAAATAAAATTTATCCTCATAGAATAAAAGCATACTCCATATCCCTTTTCTTTAAAAAAAAAAATAATTATTGGGGGCCTGGGGCTGTGGCTCAGCAGCAAAGTGCTTACTTGGCATGTGCGGGGTGCTGCGTTTGATCTTCAGCACCATATAAAAATGAATAAATAAAACAAAGGTATTGTGTCCAAATTCAACTGAAAAAATATTTTAAAAAAATTATTGGAAAACTGAAAATTTTCATGACACTGTCACAAAACTGAATTTTCTAGTCTTTAAATCCATTAACTTCTTTAAATACCCAATTGCTTTCTAATTGTCTTTGATCTTTGGAATTCTTGAGAGAAGGTGGAGAAACACACACATTTATATATATACATTTATATATTTTTTAAAGAGGTATAGACAGATTTAGGAAAGCAGAGATAAATTCAAGGGAGAATGTGGACCATCTTGGGAATAGGAAACAGTGTAACTGGGGCTGAATCCAGAGGCACTTTACTAATGAGCTACATACACTCCCAGTCATTTTTTATTTTGAGACAGGATCTCACTAAGTTGCCAAGGCCGGCCTCAAACTTGAAATCCTCCTGCCCCAGCTTCCTGAATCACTGGGGAGTTAATACTTAGGGTATATACTTTATTATATTATTTAGAAAACATTTCTATCAGAGTAAACAATTTTTGTTATAAATAAATGTATTAAGTCTTTGACATATTACTAAGAATCCTTATATAGAAACATACTTCTGTAATTTTATTTTAGTCGTTTACATGTGCTTTCACATTTTCTTAATAACCATCAAAGGAAACAGCTCTAGATTAACACTTTAAAAGTTAACTATTCTCCTTTGCAGACAATATTTTTATAAGCTAACTAGACAGATAGCAACTAAATTCAAATGGTCCCTCTTCAAATACTCATCTTGCACTGTGGGAGGCACATCTTTGAGGACAAGGACTTTGCCTTAAATCACTGGTAACTTGTGGTTGAATTACTACTGGATAAAATTTAACTGATTTGGGGACAGGGTGGGAGGTACTGGGGACTGAACCCAGGGCTTCCTGCTTGCCAAGCAAACACTCTATCACTGAGCCACATCCCTAGCCCAAAAATTAACTGAATATTAGAATAAGGGTTATTGTGAATTATTTTCCTAGTTAAAATGCCTAATTTATTTATTTAGGTATTCTAATTATCTAAACCAGACAATTCCCAACAGCCTTCCTTCTACCTCCCCTTGGTATCAATAAGACTAATAACTATTATAAAGAATTTTTAAAAAAGAGAATGTCTCCACCTTCACCTAGATGTCATATTAGGAGCACGTTCAGAATAATTCTGCTTTGACTAGCCAGTCTACCTTCCTGTGCTTTGGAACTTTATTATTATTATTATTATTATTATTATTATTATTATTATTATTATTAAAAGGAGCAGGAAGCTAACTGCTTTCTCTCTACCAAAGTTTTTCTTAAGCTTCTTCAAAGCAATGTAGGTTGTCTCCAACATAATTTCTCCCATTTAACTATTAAGCATCCCCTCCTTAATTTTGTTAGCCTCATGTAAATTTTCGAATAAGGCAACTAAGACAGATACATGACAATCTCCAAATACCCTGGAATTTATTCTTTCACTCCATATTTCCCATTCAACAAGGACTTGATTCTACTAAGTATTCAATACAGATCTTTGTAAAGAGTAAAACATGTTGCGACAAATCATGCATCTACTTTTTGAATGCCCTTACTTTTATCTCCTAATCTACTGAGGGTTTAAAAGGTGAAATTTTCTTTTCTTTTTTTTTTTTTTTTTTTTTTTTTTGAGAGAGAGAGAGAGAGAGAATTTTTAGTTTTTGGTGGACACAACATCTTTATTTTTATGTGGTCCTGAGGATCCAACCCAGCGCCCCGCGCATGCCAGGCAAGCGCGTCACCGGTTGAGCCACATCCCCAGCCCTTGTTGTTGTTGTTGTTATATAATGTAGTTGAAGGACAAAATTTATAAAATATCATTTTATAAAAGACCTCGTCTCGAAATTAAAAACAAAACAAAACACTCATGTCACATTTTCTATTATGTCCAAGACCTTATATAAGAGACATAAGTAGTCATAAAAACTTTATAAATTTTTAAAAATTCTATTTGTTCTTTTTAGATATATATGACAGTGTATATTATTCATACATGGAGTATAACTTTCCATTCTTGTGGTTGTACATGATATGGAATTACACTGGTCGTGTATTCACATATGAACATAGAAAAAGCTTTTTTAATGAATCAAGGATACAAAGAAAATGCTCTTAAAACATTAAAAGCCTTCAATTTTACTTGAGAGAGAAAATTCACCTCTTAGACTGGTAAATTTTGATGAAACCCACCCTGGGGGGACTATGGAGAAACCCTCTCACACAACGATGGGCATATGAACTAGCTCTAGAACTAATAAATAAAATTAGAAACAAAACTCTACACCATAGAATTTATCCTATATGTGGACTCACACACATGGATCCTCCAAAGCATTGTTCTTAGCTGCAAAAGACTGAAAACAACCAAAATATGCAACTTGGGATGAACTAAATAAGTCATTTCATATCATGAAATCATTTTCTGCAACTATAATACCCATTATTTGGGAGACTGAGGCAGGAGGATCGATAGTTCAAGGCCAAACTCAGAAACTCAGTGAGGCCCTCAGCAACTTAGCAAGACCTTGTCTCAAAATAAAAAAAAAAAAAAAAAGGGTTTGGGAACGTGATTCAGTAGTAAGGTGCATACAGTTCAAAAAAAGAAAAAGAAAAAAAAGCACATACACGTGTAAAACACTTAAATGTTATGGTATTATTTGTGCTAAAAGAAAAAAAATACAAACATGTATTTGTCTTCCATATGGTTATCTCACAGCTCTCACAAAGGGGAGGCAGCTAGGGAACAATACAAGGAGGAAGATTTGCACTATGCTCATCTTTAGATCTTTTTAAAATTTTGTACAATATGAATATTACCAATTTAAAAACAGTTCCTTTTGTGTTATACAAATTTCCTTCTCCTTCCCAGGCTTATTCTTCCTGCCATAGTCCTTCTGTGAGTGGTTCTGCCTTTAGTAACTTAGGTGAACTTCCTCTCTTGAGGTTTATTTCCCCTTCCCTCTTTAGGACTCAGAGTCCATCAGTGCTGTCCTTCCTTGCACACAGAAGGGACTGTCTGTTCCTGCCTGCACTGTATCTGGAGGTGACTCTTCTGTAGTTAGCTGACACCTAGTGTTGTGCTTCATTTCTTAATAGTAGGGTTTCTTTTTCTTTTATTTTCTTCTTGGAGTGCTGGGGATTGAACCCAGGACCGTGGGCATGCTAGGCAAGTGCTCTACCACTGAGCTACATCCCCAGCCCTGTGCTGGGTGCTTTGTATGCCACTTGTCCACATTCATGTTCTGAATAGAGCTGTCAAAGGCAGTATTCGTGGGACCCTTGTTCTCTCTCTCTAGTGCTCAGTTCATTAGATCATTCAAAGCCTACAGAACCTTTTCCTAGAGGGAACTGACTGTGAAGTTTTATTAACTGCATTGGGCTATACTTTTTCCATAAATCTATAAGCAAGTTACATTTGTTCAATGTCTGCCTGCTCCTAAATGACAATAGTAATCACTAGATAATTCAGGGAGCAAGATGACAACATCTATTAGTTTAATCCACGATCAACTTGCCAGCTTCAGATAAAATAGCAATGAAGTGTCACAATAGCAATGAAAAAAATTGTAACTTGGAAACAATACATGGGCCCAAGACTTCCAGAAAATAGGGTGTAGTTCAGGGTATACTACATTACTCTGTTAATGGCATTGAAGAATATTGAAAATGTAATAAAATGCAGTCGTTCCTAAACATTCAAACTTCTTTTAAAAATGCTTAATTGCAGGGTCTAAGTTTACGAATAGTTTCTTTCTGCTACCCATCATCCCTTCTCCCATTAAGAAATCCATAAAATATAAGTTACTGTAATTAACCTAGTGATTACATAAAGTTAAAAAGTTTCAAACTGCTTACTGTCTAGCTTGGTCCTTACTGGAATAGGTTACATTTACCACTGCAGTTTCCGAGTCAGTGTTCACTAGAGAAAGAGAAAAACAGAGAGAAGACAGTTAGTTTTCTTTCTACTTTCTTCCTTTTACAAATTTGAAAGCAATTCAGAAGACATGTACCTTGCTCACAGCTCTCCACCACTCCATACTGGACTAGTAAACTATCCAGCACCTAGCAGGAGGGGGAGAGAAAATTATAAATTTTGAGTTTCCCAAGTTGAGTTTCCCAAACCAGGGTGGATTTAAAATCACTAAGTAACTGTGATGGAAGAGAGTCAAAAAAACTAACTGGGGAAGGACACCACAAAGAGCACACACGATGGACTTCTCTCTCCTGCCCTACCGGTCCCCAATCTCTATCTCATTTCCTATGGCTAAACAAGAAGCAACAGGGACTCAGGAAAGTGTTCAAGCCACAGCTGCCCAACTTGAGGCTGAAGGAGAAAGGAGTGCATCTTTCTCACACACCCAGGCACACACATACACCCATATTCCTTATACACCCAGAAGAATTAAGGTTGTTCATAATATCTGAAAGTAGAAATAACCCAAATGTCATCAGATGGTGAAGTGATACACAAAAAAATGTGATACATTCATACAATGAAATATTAGTCAGCCATAAAAAGGATATATTTAAACAAGCTACAATATAAATGATTGTTGAAGATATCACACTAAGTGAAAGAATCCAGTATCAGAAGATCACATATTAAAATGATCCCATTCGTATAAAATATCCAGAATCGTGAACTCTATAGAGACAGAAAGTAGATTAGTGGTTGCACAGGGCTGTTGAGAGAGGGAGGGTAGAAGCCAAAAGCTAAGGTTTTGTGTGCTTTTTTTTTTTGGGGGGGGGGAGTTGGGGAGGAATGGGAGAGGAGGGGTACTGGAGATTTAACCCAGGAACACTTTTACCACTGAGCTATATCCCTAGCCCTCCTACCCTCCACCTCCTTATTCTGAGACAGAGTCTTGATAAATTGCTGAGGGTGACCTTGAACTTGTGACCCTCCTGTCTAAGCCTCCCAAGTCACTGAGTTTATAGGCATATGCCACTACACCCAGCTGAAAAGTTCTGGTTTGAAGAGACAAAAACATTATAAAGTTGTAGGTGATGGTTGTACACCTCAGTTAACACTAAAAAGCATTGCATTTTAAACCGTGGATTGTATGATATCTGAATTATAACTAAGATCAACATTACCAGGTAATGACCTAGGGGTTTTGTTTGTTTCTATCTCTGAAGATTTTTGCTTCCTGATATTAGGACCCACTACTCGGGTCCCACTGCCTCTAAAGTATCTGAACAAGAGTATGACTGGCATGCTTGCCTCCAGTCCCAAACCCTTATGCTATCCCCCTGCCATAAATTTCAGTGGCTTCAAATTGCTGGTGTAAGTTGTCCATATTTCAGCATGACCTAAGAGGCTGTCAATTGCCTGGTACTGCCAACCTCTTCCATAAACTCAATATACTTCCCCCACACCTACGCTCCAGTCACACCCTCAAGACTGGGTAAAGTGCCTCTCTGTCTCCCACTTGCTGAATACCTGCTCCTGCAAATGAAAGCAATATCATTTTATAATCTCTTTATCTTTTTTTCCCTCCCACTAGACTAATAATTATTAACCTTAGTGATGTGATTGCCAGGAGTGTCACAAGTAATCAATTCCTCATTGTCACGCTGGCTTCTGTGCTTAAGGTGGCAGACAATTTATAACGTGTGTATGACCTTAGATTATAAATCTTCTTATTTGCTTATGTGTTCCATGTGTTTCAGGGACAACATTGAGCATTATAGTCTATACACTCATCTATATACTGAAGGTCCCTCTGGAAATGGGTTACTCCTTCAATGTGGCTCCCCAACACAGCTGCACAGACCTAGAAGATCTAGGCTCTGTAAGAGAAGGAGGCATGCTACACTTTTGAACCCAATGCTTAGCTCAGTGAGGAATAGTTTTTGTCTTAAAGGCAAAGGAAGCTAATTCTAGGTTCCTTTAAAAGCCCATAGTAATTTAAGCTAACAGATATTTGTATGAATTCATACAAAAAAATGTGGAAATAAAAAAGCAAACATTAAAAATAAGTGAAATTAAGCCAAGCATGGGGCCACATGCCTATAATCCCAGTGGCTTGGGAGGCTGAGGCAGGAGGATCATGAGTTCAAAGCCAGCCTCAGCAACTTAGGCACTTAGCAACTCAGTGAGACCCTGTCTCTAAATGAAATATGAAAAAGGGCTAGGGATGTGGCTCAGTGATTAAGCACCCTGGGTTCAATCCTCAGTACCAAAAAAAAAAAAAAAAGTAAAATTAAAGTAATATTCAAAGCAGAAGCACTTAATATCCTTTGACCACAACACAAACTTTACTAAAACATACTAAAAAAATTTTACTAGAACACCTGTCCCTGTAACTTTCCAAATACCCAAACTAGTGTCAGACATGGGGAAAAGTTTACCAGAAAAAGTCATTTTGACCATCTCATTTCAATAAGATGGGGAAATATCTCCACTGAATCAATTTTGTAGAGCTAGGAGATGAAGGGACGTTCCTTCAAATATAGCTCAACACATTTTACAGCAACAGGAACCAGTTGTTGAATATGGGTAAAATCTACCCAGAAGTTTGTTTATATCTATCTATGAGAAGACCAAGTATGTGACAAAACAAGGAAGCCTATATTGGCATCCCAATAATCATTTTTAGTAGACAATGGAACAAAATGATTTTCAAGTTGAGCGGGCTTGCATTCACACACCAGATAATTGACAATCTTATAAATCCTGCTGCACTTCATTCTGACCACTGGGAAAGCCCAGGGGGCAGCTCAGCTCCTACTATTCAACATGGATGTCCTGGCATTGAAGCTACATAGATCAAAGCCCACACAAGTTAAATCCTGCAACATGGGGAGGAGATGGAAGTTCAGAGTTCTAAAAGGTGACGTGATCAGAGGGCCCAAGAAAGGTGCCATCTACTCACAGAGCCTCTTAAGTCACAGTGAAAGAGCATCTGGAGCTAAGTGGCTAACAGTATGTTTCTATTGAGTACTGCTGAGCTAGGCTGGGTTTTAAAAGCTGAGCTGGATCAAGTCACACCTAACTTTAAGGGTTTTCTCTCATATTTTGGACAGAACTCAATCCCTGACAAGTGCCCTGAAGTTCCTGTGTGACCCATTCATCTCTCTAACCACACTAGCCTTCACTGGGTTATGAATTGTGGCCAACTGCTTTCTAAGTAGCAATAACATCCCAAATATTTGATCTATTTTAACTCATTTAATAGACACAATCCCATGAGGTAACTTTATCCCATTTGTAGACACATAAACTACAGCACCAGGATGTTAATAATGTTAGAACTTGGATAGTTAAGTGCTGGAGAAATGACTCAAGCCCCAACTGTCAGATTCCAGAGCCCACCCTCCTAACCACTTTGTCTTATAATAAGATCCTTCACTTCTCCATATAGCTAAAAAATATAAACATACAGACTGAAGCCAACTCAATCCTTACTTGGCATCACCTGCAATGGAAAACAAAACCTGTCCTTCATCAGGTAAAGAGCTTTATCCATTTTCAGGGGTCAATAAGCTTTCCCAGCCAACATTTCAAGTAGTGAAGACTATGTCAATATACATCAAATGCAGGTATGAACCAGCATTAATTTGTGTAATACTTGTAAAAACATTCTATCTTCTATAAATTAGGATTTTTTTTTAAACCACCTGCTTCCAAAAGGGGTATCCCACGCACACAACTACAGAAGAAACCACTTTCAGTTTGGTGAAAGTGGTGGTCTGTCCAGAAGTTTTTAGAAGTATGTCATATGAAAACATTAGGAAAATGCAAATCAAAGCCATAAGGGCATATCATTTCATGCCCATTAGAATGGCCTGTCTATCTCTACACACACATACTTATACTAGTGTAAAATAATTGTTGACAAAGACATGGGAAAAATTAGGAACCCACATAACACTGCAGGAAGAAATATTAAGATATTGGAGCTGCTATAGAAAACAGAAGAGCAATTCCTCAAAATATGAAAACAGAATCACTATATGATCCAGCAATTACACTTCTGGGTATATACCCCAAAGAACTGAAAAAAGAGGGCTCATAGGTATTTGTACACTCGTGTTCATGGCTGCATTATTCACAATAGCCAAAGATAAAAGCAACTCAAGTGTTCACTTACTAAAGGATAAACAAAATGTGGTGTATATACACAATGGAATACTATTCATTCATAAAAAGAATGAAGTATTGATCTATGCTATAGTGTGGACAGACTTCAAAACACAGTATGCTAAGTGAAATAAGCCAGACACAAAAGGCTACATATTATATTGTATGATTCCATCCATCTGAATAGGTGAGTCCACAGAAACAAATGGATTAGTGGTTGCCAGTGGGCAAGGGTAGGGGGATGGGGAGTGACTCCTAACAGGGATTTGGGGGTAATAAGGAAAACAATCTATATCAGTGGTGACACACAGCCTTTTTAATATACTAAAACCTACAGAATTTCACCTCGATGTTTTTTTAAAAGTATGTGTATCTGTTTATACTTATCTATTCACAGATGCACACATAAGAAGAGCAATATTCTGTTGAGTTTTTAATTTTCATATAACTAGGTATCAAGTAGTGTCTTACACATCTTACATATACTTATTTACTCCTCCAAACAGGGTTATTATCCTCAGAACAGATGCATAAACTGGGGTAGCCTTTAAGTAACTTGCTTAAACACAGCATTTCCCACATGGCTCCCCACCACCACCACCATTCCATCTGATTTCCTGGTGATCAATCCACGCTGGCAAATACAAACCTAACTTCTTATTAACTGCCACATGGAAGTTGTCCACTGTACCAGCTATTAATTTATTTTCATTACCTTTTCTTCCGACTCCTTAAGTCACAAGGTCCCCCCACCATGTAACACATCACACAGTTGGGAGGAGGAATCAAAGAGTTAGGACAGCACTGTTCAAGCCTCAGCACCAAATGAAAAGACAAGAGGCTGGAGAATCCAAGAATCAAACAGCAGTTTCAGTAGCTTGCTAACTTACTCCTGTAGCAGACAGACAGGGATAATCACATCAGACTGCTAACATGTCACCAGATAAAAGGGGAAAGGTAGGTCAAAAGTCTAATT